CTGTTTCCCTCTTTCCTTCTCATCCTCTTTCTTCTTTCTCTCCCTCCCTCTGTTTCTTTCTTTCTCCCTTTCTCTGTCTTTTTTCTTTCTCTTCCCCCTCCTCTCTCCCTTTCTTTCTATTTCTCTCTCTTTCTGTTGATAGTCAGTTGGCCTAGCAACATGGTTGAAAATTCTGTTATTTCTTCATGCACTTCCCTTTGCATCCTTGTCAAAAATAAATTTTCCACATGTGTAAGTCTGATTCTCAATCATCTATTCTGTTCCACTGACCTATTTATCTTTATATCAATATCATATTATCTCAATTACAGTAACTTTTTTTAAGGCAGAGTCTCCCTCTGTCACCCAGGTTGGAATGCAAGGCACAATCATAGCTCACTGCAGCCTTGACCTCCCAGACTCAAGCAATTCTCCTGCCTCAGCCCGCCGGGTAGCTGGGATTACAAGTGTGTGCCACCAAGCCATGCTAATTTATTTTGTTTGTTTGTGAAGACAGGGTCTTGCTATGTTGTCCAGGCTGGTCTTGAACTCCTGGGCTCAAGCAGTTCTCCCACCTTGGCTTCCCAAAGTGCTGGGATTACAGGTGTGAGTTGCCACACCTGGCCCACTTTATAAGTCTTAAAATCAGGTAGTATAAGTCCTGTAATACTGTTAATCTTTTTATAGTTGATTTGGCTATTCTAGATCCCTTGAATTTCCATATGAATTTTGGGATCAGTTTGTCAATTTCTATAAGAGAAGTCTGTTAGGATTTTGATTGAGAGTGCACTGACTATAGAGCAAATAAGAATTGACATTGTAACATTATTGGGCCTTCTGATTCATAAGCATGACGCATCCCTTGATTTACTTTGGTTTTCCTTGATTTCTCTGAGCATCATTTTATAGTTTTTAATGCACAAGTATCCATGTTTTGGTCAATTTTATCCCTAAATATTTCATATTATTGGATATTATTGTAAATGTATTTTTAAAAAATTTCAGTGCCCAATTACTCATTGCTAGTATGTAGAAGTACAATTATTACAACTATTTCATATTTTCGTCTTATATTCTGCAACCTTGCTAAATTCAGTTGTTAGTTCCAGTAGCTTTTTTGTAGCTTCTACAGGATTTTTTATATGGACTATTATGTTGATGCCAATAGACACCAACTCTCTTCTTCCTTTCCAATCTGAAGGCCTTTCATTTCTTTTCTTGGCTGTTACACTAACTAAAATCACCAGTACAATATAGAATAGAAGTGATGAGAGTGGGCATTCTTCCTAATCTTTGGGAGAAAAGCATTCAGTCTTGTACCATTCAACCTGGTGTTAGCCATAGGTTTCTTGTAGATGCCCTTTATCTTTTTTCTTTTTTTTTTTTTTTTTTTGAGACGTCGCCCAGGCTGGAGTATAGTGGCACAACCTCAGCTCACTTCAACCTCCACCTCCCAGGTTCAAACAATTTCCCTGCCTTAATCTCCTGAGAAGCTGGGATTACAGGCCTGTGCCACCACACCCAGCTGATTTTTGTATTTTTAGTAGAGAGCAGACCACGTTGGACAGGCTGGTCTTGAACTCCCGACCTAAGGTGATCCGCCAGCCTCGGCCTCTGAAAGTGCTGGGATTACAGGCGTGAGCCACTGCACCCAGCCGTAGATGTCCTTTCTCAAGTTGGGGAAGTTCCATTCTGTCTGTTTGTGGACAGTTTTTTAAATCAGGAAGGGATGCTGGATTTTGTCAAATGGCATTTGTTTTGTTTTCTTGAATTTGTTGAGATGACCATATGGCTTTCCTTCTTTAGTCTGTTAGTATGGTATATTTACATTGACTGATTTTTAATGCAAACCAATCTTTCATTCCTGGGATAAACCCCACTAGGTCATGGTATATTTTCTTGTTTACCAGCATTTGCCTGTTTGCCAATATTTTGTTAAGAATTTTTTTTATCTATGTTGATGAGGAATCGTAGTCTTGTAGTTTTCATTTCTTGTAATGTCCTTATCTGGTTTCGGTATTAGAATAATGTTGGCTTAGTAGAATGAATTGGGAAGCACTTTCTTTATCTAAATTTTCTGGAAGAATTTGTGTATAATTGGTGTTATGGGCTCAACTGTTTCCCCCCCGCCCCCAATGTGTAATTTGAAGCTGTAACCCTGGTACCTCAGAATATGGCTGTATTTGGAGATAGCGCCTTTAAAGACGTGATTAAGTGGAATCAAGGGTGGGCCCTAATCCAGCATGACTTGTGTCCTTATAAGATAAGTAAATGTAGACACACAAAGAGACACGAGGGATGTGCATGCGCAGAGGAAAGGCCACTTGAGGCCACAGGACGAAGGTGGCATCTTCAAGCCACAGAGAGGGGCCTCAGAATGAAATCAGCCCTGCCAGCATCTTGATCTTGGACTTCCAGACTCCAGAACTGGGAGAGAATAAATTTCTGTTATTGAAGTCCCTCCATTTGTGGTATTTTGTCATGGTAGCCCTAGCAAACTAATACAATTGGTGTTTCTTCTTGCTTAAGTATTTGGTCAAGTTCACCAGTGAAGCCATCTGGACCTGGAGTTTGTTTGTGGGAAGGTTTTAAACTACGCATTCAGTGGCTTTCATAGATACACAGCTATTTCCAGTTGAGTGACTTTGTGTCTTTTGAGGAAATTGACCATTTTATTGTAGTTGTTGAATGTATTCTTACACTCATTTTAATACCAAAAATTACAAATAAAAAAATAAAAACCACCAGTTATTCCACTGTCTCAAGATGTCCATTACTAATGCTTTTACATTGCATCGTTCTAGAAAATTTTTATACCTGTGTACACCAACTCCTTTTTAAAAATGCTATGACCTTGTAGTACAGGGTGTTTTTTTTTTTTTGTATCATAAATATTATTTGAAAACGTGATTATGGATGGATGACTAATAATTTGCTTAACGAACCCCTAATTTAAGTTGCTTCTAATGGGGTGAGGGGAGCATCAAGAAAACACCCCTTCAGTGTCCCTCTTCTGTCTCTAGGAGCAACTCAAGTTGGCATTTGGTTTGCAGTCCCAGAAGTGGAATTACTGGATCAACCAGTTTATTATTGACTCGCTATTGAGCACCCTGAGCTTGGTAGTGGGAGGGTAGAAGGAAAGGGAAGAGCCCGTCCTCTTCCTCAAGGATCAAGCCTCTCTGAAGACCAGCCCAACCAGCATGTCCGGTGGGAATTCCAGTTGAGAAAGTAGCAGTGATGCTGCTCAGAGGCTCTCAGGGGTCCCCGGCCCCAGCCTTGGCCTCCTCGACCTATCTCAGAGTGGCTCTAGTTATCTGCAAGTTGGAGGCTGTATCTTCAGGATTTGGACATACTGGGCCTTATTTCTCCATTCTTCCTTCTTTGGAATGTGGTGACATCATTAAGTGGTGTTTGTGAAAATGGAGGCAAAGATAGAAGACAAACTTTGTGCAGACAAGTGAAGGCAGACACTAGTCTTGTTCTCCAATCACTCCCAGTCTGATGAAGCAGATGCAGCCTTGTCCCAAGGGGGAAGCCCTAGGCTTTTGGAAGAAACAAAGGCTCCTTCCTTCCAGGATCCCCAGTCTGAAGGAAGTGTCAAGATTCATAAACCAAAACATGAAACCTATACAGTTAGCAACACCTGTATATGTTTTGGAATGCATCACCAAATGCAAATAAACACCCTCCCATGCAAGGACCTGTGATTGGATGCAGTGGGTTTTTTCCGGGAAAACTTCCTGGAGAGGAGACGGACCTGGATCCACAGAGAGGAAGCTGGGCAGAGGAAGGGTAGGGGCTGGGTGACGGGGATGACATGTGGACTGTGGTTTGGTATAGCCAGAAGAGGAGGCTGGCAAAGCTAGGGGCAGGAAGGGAAGCCCCAGGGGTCTCTTCTGCCCCTGTTGGCAGGTTCGAGGACACTGAGAGAGATGGGGCAACTTGAAGGTGAGGGGATTATTTGCAATGTCAACTTCCAAGAGTCCTCTTCTTCTGCCTCCCTTGCTGTCTCCTCCCAGTATCTCAATTCTCCCCAAGGCTGGAGGTCAGCCCCTACTTTGCAGTTTTTTGTAGACATGGGGTCTCACTATGTTTTCCAGGCCGGTCTCAAACTCCTGGCCTCAAACAAACCTTCCGTGTTGGCCTCCCAAGTGCTGGGATTGCAGGTGTGAGTGACTACGCTGTGCCTAGGCCTCTACTTTGTAACAATCAGATCTTTAACTGGGCACCTACACCTGCCCCCACTCACCACATGACACATGACACCCAACTTGTATGAACATCATCCTCATTCGGTGAGGCCTTGTTATGTGCACTTACAGCTGAGAACTCAGAGACCAGGGAAGGGAGTTCTCCTACCAAGGCCTCACAGCAGGGAAGTGGGGGTGCTGGCATGGGATCTTTTATCAGTGCGACTGCTCAAACCCCCAGGCTCAGCCCAGGTGACCCAGCCCTGAGAGGGGCTCCCAGAGCTCACACTCCCTTGGATTCTCTCCAGCCCCATCTTTCTCATACACACCACCCCCCTTCAAAAAAGGCAAACGGTGCTGACAAAGCCCAGGCCCCGAAGGCTCTCCCTTAGATAACTGTGCCCCCTACGAGGGCAAATTTGGCAATGTCACAACCGTGCTAAGTTGGTTTAGGTAGAATCCCCAATGTTGTCCTCCATACCTGATTGGGTTTCTCGTCCTCCATGGCCCCCAGGTGATGTCTGAGGAACCCACCTGCCTTCAGCAGGAATCCTGGGGGATCGCTTTAGCCAGAGTCTCCCAACCCCCCACGACCCCTGATGTGTCTTCTGGTTAACTTTTCATCCTCAGACCCCACCCTGCTCCTTGGCTATGAATTCCTGCCTTTTCTTATTGTATCTGCCGTTGAGTCCAGTCTCTCTTCCCCACTGCAGAACCCACTGCCATGGCCCTACACATGTCCCCATGGCCCCTTTGAACAAAGCCTGCCTTACTGTGCTTCATGCTTCAACAAGCGTCACTGAGTGATGTTTTATCTTTAACATCTTTCAGATGGGGAAAGAGAGGCCTTTGGGCTAATTTCCTTTCGGATGCATGGGGAAGGCCGATTCTCCTATGTGGTATGTAAACCCCCAAGTCAGGCAGGCCAGAGCACCCAGGGGTGGGGACTGTACCAACTGGCTGTGGGCAGGGCTGTGGGGGTGGGAGGAGGAGTTGGAGCCTCCTTTTTCTAGGGCATGTGTCATCTGCCTCCTGCCCAGGGGCATTGCCCCGGCACTCCCCTGCCAGTGTGCGAGGCAGCCTGAAGCTGGAGCCTGCTCCCCGCAGCCTCTGGAGCGTATCTCAGACCTTTCAAGACCTATGTTGCTGGCCCCCCAGAACCCGGAACATGGCAGATGGGGCGCAGGCCAACCCCAAAGTGTTCAAAAAGAAGGTGCTGGATAGATGCTCCTCTGGGTGGAGGGACCCACGCTTCCGAGCCTCCTGTCCTTCAAGAACCCCCAGGTAGGTGCCTGCTACCCTGAGATGGAATCCCCCAGGGAGAGGCAGGGACAGGGGTGAGGGACTGGTTCCTAGAATTCCTTTCTCCTGAGAGTCTGCGTGGCAGGCTGAGATGGTCACTACTTTTCCAGCACTAAATGGGGATCATTTAGTCAACCCTCACGTGGCATTCATGTGGCCCAGGGAGAGTGAAGCCACAACCCTCATGTGGCCCAGGGAGGCTGAGGCCACACATTTTGGAAGCGGTGCTGGGACCAGAATCCAGGGACCTAGGACTCCTGACTTTGGGTTCAAGACCCAGCTGCTAAGCTGGGTCACATGACTTCCTTCCAGGACTCCCTAGTGTGTGCATGGGAGGTCCGGCCTGAGACAGTGGGCTTCCTGTCCTGGAGGCTGATGTGTAGAGGGGGTTCCTGCCAGAGTGGGGGGCAAGGAGGTACTCGTGCCTCCTGGCTCTGCCATCTGGGGTGTGCTCCTCCAGGAGGGGCTGGGCAGGTGCTGATGACAGCACTAGGAGCAGCAACTAGGACATCCAGGGACATCATTGATGACACCTGTCATGAGGCTCAGGAAGGGAGCAGCAGGTCCAGCACTGCCAGGGGTGAAGGGGATGGACTCAAGCTCCGGGTTTTGTCCTCCCTCAGGTCTAGCCTGGGTATGAAGAAGTTCTTTGCCGTGGCCATCCTTGCCAGCAGTGGTGAGTAAAGACTCCAGGGGGCTCCTCCTTCTCTCCCGCTCCTGGCCTGTCTCCCATGACCTTGGGCGCCTGAGTTAGGGTTCCACTGACCAGCCTAAGTTCCTTCCTCTCTCTGGGCCTTTGCTTCCTGGCTCAGCCCAGCAGGCTGCACCCAATTCTGGGGTTGTTTACCCCTCCAGCCACCTGTAAACAGGCTTTTATGAGCCCCAGGGGGCAGGGCGCAGGGCTGAGCAAGCATCATAAAATGCTGGTGTTGGCTGGGCATTTGTGTACCTGAGTGTGTATTAGCGTGTGTCCATCAGACAGGAGTTAATGATTTTGTGTGCAGACAGGCGCAGGTACCTATGTGTGTGTAGGTGTGCCTGAGCACTTGATGATGTCTATGTGTGCAACATGCATCTATAAAGTATGTGACACTGTAGGCACCTGAGTGCAAGCTCGTTTGTGTCTCTTCGTGTAAGCATGTGTTAATTGGGGTGTGTGTCTCCAGAGCGTGCTTACGGATGTAGGGTGCACAGATCTGCAGAAGGGTGTGTGTGTGTGTGTGTGTGTGTGTGTGTAGGGTGGGTGTCTGTGTACTGCAGAGCAGTGGGAGGTCAGGGGCTTCTTTCTGGGGGTGGTACCCAGGGTATCATGGCTCTGGGCAGTCCCCCATAGGATTGTTGTGTGAGGCTCTTGACACAAACCTGACCCTGCCACTCGTCCCAGCATCATTCATGTGGCAGGTGTCCCAGTTCCATGGACCATTGGCTGGGCCTCTCGCTGGCCTTTCATGCAGCCTGTTAAACCTCACCAGAACACAGCCTGGCTTGAGGAAAAGAAATAAATGCCAAAAGCCAAAATAAGGTTCCATGTGAGAGAGGGCTTGCTGCATTCAGGCAAAGTGACCTGTTATTGAGGAGATGACTGCTTGAGTTCAGCCCAAGCCACTGGTTAGGGGCAGAACCTTCAACCCCACTGAATGCGGACTTGGATTCCTTCGCTGGGACTGTCAGTGTGGATGTGGCCTTGGGCCGGGCCCCTGCGTTGTGTATGTGAGTGCATCTGTAATGCACGAGGGTGTGAGTGTGCAAGTGTGTGTGTGTATCAGGTATGGGTGTGTGTGTATCAGGTATGTGTGTGTGTGTATATGGTATGTGTGTGTGTATCAGGTACGTGTGTGTGTGTCTATCAGGTAGGTGTGTGTGTATCAGGTGTGTGTGGGTGAGTGTAGGTGAGTTTGAGGTGTCTGGGGGTGAGTGTGTGTGCAGGTGTATGTGGTGTGTAGAGGAGAGTGTGACGTAGGCAGGTGTGTGAATGTGTGTGAGATGAGTGTGTGTGTCTGTGTGTGTGTGCACCCTGTGCATGGCTGCGTAGGTTTCTTGCTCTTCTTCTCTTGCCACATGGGAGTTGCCGGTCAGGGGGTCCCAGGGACTGGAGGTGCCCCCTCCCCCAGGGTAACATTTACAAGGCCAGGGGTGGATGGGGAGGAGGCCAGGGCCTCACAGTGACTGGGTCCCTCCTCAAGGCGCTGTGGGGGTCAGGCACTCTACACACCTTCGTGATCACACTTCAACCTCCAAGGTGCCCTGCAAGGAGGGCATCATTATCCCCATCCTCTGCTTTGGGAATTGCAATCTGAGAGGTTGCTGGTATGTGCCAAGCCTCAAGCAGGGCACTGGCCTGCCTGATCTCTCATGGTTGAGATTGTTACTCCCATGTTACAGATGGGAGAACAGAGCCCCAGGGAGTCCCAGCTGGCCTTGGTTATTGGCCTAGGTCTGTCTGACTCCAGAGTCAATGCTCTTCCCACTAAGACACATTGAGGTGGCGAGTTCCCTGTCGTTAGAGATGTCGGATACCATGTCTCTGGAAGCAAGCAAGAGTGGCCTTTGGGATTTCCCTGAACCACCAGTTTCTGAAACTGTTGACTTTCCCCTCTCCCAGTACATTTCCTCATTCAGGCTGGGGAGCAGGGTGGGGACATGGAGAGAGCAGCAGGAAGGGTGCTGAGCTAGGCCCCTCATGCTGACTGCAGCTGGAATGGCTGGGGTGGGGGAAGCAGGCAGAGCTGTGCTGCTCTGTGGTTAGCTTCCCAGCTCCAGAGCACACAAACCCCGGGCAGTCTGGGCTCTGCCCCTTCCAGCCTGTGGGACCTGGGCAACCCTGCACCTTTCTGAGCCTTAGTTTCCTCACCCATAAAATGGTGATAGATTGGGTCTCCTGCTGGTGCGCGTAGGGCAGCTTCCCCCAGGTAAGGACTGTAGGTGCCAGACTGGGCATGTGGACCCAGTGCTGCATCCAGGAGGATGTGCAGAGGCAGCGCAGGCGATTCAGAGAGCCACTGCACGGGCACAGACTGCAAGACAGAGAGAAGCAGCGGCAAGGGGAGAATGTGTCCTGGGGTGGGCTGGCCTGGCAGGTGCCACGAAGCTGATTTCACTGGTGCAGGGAGTGTCCTTGCACTATTTCTCCCTCTGTATGTGTGTGGGGAGAGTGTTTTTCTTCGTTCTACCCCCAGCCAGTATCAGCCTGTACTACAAAGGCTTTTCTGTTTCTTCATTAACGACCAGAGCACCAAATTGTCTCTGGATTGATCCTGAGATGCACCAGCCCCGGGATCATGGTGGGGACTCTGAGGCCCCCAGGGGGGCAGAGGCAGGAGGCAGAGGCCAGGAAGGGACCCAGAATCAACCCCCTGAGCTTGCTAACATCATGTGGCCTTTGCGAAGCCTCCTCCAGCATACCAGGCGCTTGGGCATCCCCCTTGAGAAGTGTGTACAGCCAAGTGGCAGAGGGTGTGGGTGCAAAACCCTCACTGCCTGGGTCCAAATTCTGTCTCCACTGCTTTCTGACAATAGGACCTATAGCAAGTTACGAAATGCACTGGGCCTCAGTCTTCTCATCGACGTAGTGGGATAACAAGAGCGTGCATAGGGTTGCAGTGCGCACTCAATGGGTTCATGCACGGAAGGAGCTTGGGACAGTACCTGGCATGGAGCAAGCCCCCAGCAAGGATGACCTGCATTGTTTTCTTGGGGCTGCAGGGCTTACTGCTGGGATGTGGGTGCACACCATGCATGGTATCTTGTAGATTTCTTTCCTCCTGCTTAGCTGCCCACCCTTCTTGCCCCAGCTTCCTCTCCTGCTTTCTCCTTCCTTCTCCCACCTACCCTAGGTATTGAGAGGATGGTCAGACCAGACTCTCAGGATGAGAGAGGATGGGAGCAGCCAGCCATGGGGCAGAGGCTCAGCTCACCCCCCTGGTTCTCTTGCAGTTCTGTCCACAGCCCACAGCAGCCTGCTCAACCTGAGGGCCATGGTGGAGGCCGTCACGGGGAGGAACGCCATCCTGTCCTTCGTGGGTTACGGTTGCTACTGTGGGCTGGGGGGCCGTGGCCAGCCTAAGGATGAGGTGGACTGGTAGGTACCAGATCTGGGCTCCTGTGAGGGGCCAAATGAGGACAGCTGAAGGTCAGACTGAACTTGCCCTCCATCCCTGAGAGGGGGAGACCTTCTTTCCCCAAGGGATCCGGCTTCTTTGATGAGTTGGTGACCGGAGCCTGGTCTTTGACTATGTTCTTTCCAAACTGTCTTGGGCGCTTTCTGTTGTCCATCTCCAAGGTCATGGACTTGGAAGTGTTTCAGCCCCTCCTCTCTCTAGGAAGGGACCTTTGACTGTGGTAGAGCAGTCTTACAGCTGACACCCCACAAAGGCAAGGGCTGTGACCCCTGCCCACCTCAGGCTGGAGGCTCTGGAAGACAGGACCGTGCCTCCTCCATCAGTCTGGGAGCTCCCAGCAACCATGGCTTGTCTTCTCCTCCTATTTCCCCAACAGCAGCCAGCACCAAGTTTGTATCACAGAAAGCTTAATAAATGCATGTTGACTAGCTGACTTCACTCCCCCAGAGGTGAGGGACAGCCACACTGCCTGTGCTTCTTGTCCCCCATCCTACTAGTCCCTGTTGACAACTCCAGACCTTTGTCCCTCCCTGGCCATGAGGCACTGCCAGGGGTAGCCTCTGCCTAGAGTTGACGCTCCTCCAACCTTGACGTAAACCCAGGCAGCCCCTGACCCCTCCCACAGCTGCAGCCAGGGCTCTGGGGGAAAGCTGGGAGTCCTGTGGATAGAACAAAGACACAGGGGAGAATGTGTCCTGGGGTGGGCAGGCCTGGCAGGTGCCACAAAGCTGAAGCTGTGAGGATCGGAACCTGGGGTACCGGCCCCAGCTCTGCTTGGCTGTGTGACCTCAGACAAGTAACTGTCCCTCTCTCGGCTTCAGTTAGAACGTTTGACCTGTGAGAGACTGGAAGAGATGATCAGAGGTTTCTGCTGGTGGGAGATGGGCCAGTCCGGCCATGCCTGTCCACTCACCTCTGCCGCTCCCTAGGTGCTGCCACGCCCACGACTGCTGCTACCAGAAACTCTTTGACCAGGGCTGTCACCCCTATGTGGACCACTATGATCACACCATCGAGAACAACACTGAGATAGTCTGCAGTGAGTTCCTCCCCTGTCACCTGGGCCCCTGGAGAAGGGAGTGGCTGGTTCCACCAGGCTGTGCTGGGATGGTGGACAGGCTTGCCAGATTAAATAAAGGCTGCCGGCTGGGTGCAGAGGCTCACGCCTGTAATCCCAGCACTTTGGGAGGCCGAGGTGAGTGGATCACTTGAGGTCAGGAGTTCGAGACCAGCCTGGCTAACATGATGAAAACCCATCTCTACTGAAAACACAAAAATTAGCCGGGCATGGTGGTGCACACCTGTAATCACAGCTGCTGGAGAGGCTGAGACATGAGAATCACTTCGAACCTGGGAGGCAGAGGTTGCAGTGAGCCAAGATCGCACACCACTGCACTCCCGCCTGGGCAACAGAGTCAGACTCTGCCTCAAAAAACAGAAAAAAGAAAGAAATACAGGCTGCCTAGTGAAACTCATTTCTTAGATATACAATAAAAATGTTTTAATATTAAATACGTCCTAAATATTGCATGGGACATATTGATACTCAAAACTAAATGCTAGTATAAAATTAATTAATATTTATAGAAAATGAAATGTTTAGGACATACTTCTACTAACACATGTATTTTTTAAATTTTATTTTATTTTATTTTATTTTGAGAAGGAGTCTTGCTATGTCACCAGGCTGGAGTGAAGTGGCGAAATCTCAGCTCACTGCAACCTCTGCCTCCCAGGTTCAAGTGATTCTCCTGCCTCAGCCTCCCAAGTAGCTGGGACTACAGGTGCACGCCACCATGCCCAGCTAATTTTTGTACTTTTAGGAGAGACAGGGTTTCACCATGTTGGCTAGGATGGTCTTGATTTCTTGACTTCGTGATCCACCCGCCTCGGCTTCCCAAAGTACTGGGATTACAGGTGTGAACCACCGCGTCCAGCCAAACATGTACTATTTACCTGAAATTTTAATTAATTAATTAATTAAAACAGGGTCTTGCTCTGTTGCCCAGGCTGGAGTACAGTGGTGCCATTGTAGCTCACTGCAGCCTTGACCTACAGGGCTAAAGTGATCCTCCTGTCTCAGTCTCCCGAGTAGCTGGGATTACAGGCAAGTGCTACCACGCACAGTTGATTTTTGTATTTTTTGCGGAGATGGGGTCTCACTATGTTGCCCAGGCTGGTCTTGAACTCCTGGTCTCCAGCAATCCTCCCACCTCTGCCTCCCAAAGAGTCCGCTGGGATTATGGGTATGAGCCACCAGCCAGCCCAGCCTGAAATTGAAATTTAACCAGGCATCCTGTGTTTTGATTTTGGTTTTGCTTTTTTTGCTAAATCTAAATCTGACCAGCCTGGCTGTGGCTCGAGAACATCTCCCTGAGGTGCTCTGAGGCTCCAGTCCTGGAATTGGCATCCCAATTCTCCTGTCTCCCAAATTCTGAGTGATTCTGATTCAGTGGGTGTGGGTGGGGCCCAGGAATTTGGCTTTCAGCCAGCTCCCCAGATGGTTCTGAGGCTGCAGCTCTGCAGGGAAGCTCGGAGGCATGCTGGCCTGGGAGTTGGGGGACCTGGGTTTGAACTCTGGTTCTGTCGCCATCTCCTCGCTCCGTGTAGCCCTGGGCAGGTCCTTCCCCGCCTGGCCTCAGTTTCTTCACTCATGGGTCCATTGAGGGGTTTGGATCAGAGTGGACTCTTTCTCTTCTGGTTCTGTCACTCGGACCCCACCAGCAGAGGTGGCTCCATCCCAGGATGCCCAGTGTTTCTAGGGATCCAAGGTATTAGCACCTGGCCTGGTGTGTTCCCTCATTTACTATGAACTTGCTGTGGCTATTTCCCAACTGAGACATGTAGGTAAGCGCAAGTGGCATCCAGGTAGCAGTGCCCAGTTTTCCCTGCCCTGCTCCACTCTGTGCCCCTCTCTGAGGCAGGACTCCCCCCTGGTCCAGCCTGTGAGCAGCCACTGGGCCTTCTTTGCCCCCATGTCTTCATCTGGTACTACCAGTTGTTGCTCACAAGCAATGCTGGCTTTGCAAAGACACTCACATCTCCTGTCATCTGGGAAGGAGTCTGGTGGAGACTGGGGTGCAATTTGGGACCCCTTGGGAGCCCAGATCTCTGTGGTGCTCATGTTCTGCTGTTCAAACATGAGGTAGAGGGGCTGGCCTGAGACAGCAGATGCCCCCCTATTAAAGCAGCTGGAGGAGAGAGATTCTCCCCCCACCACCACCCACCAGGGGTAACGGACTAACTTAAAGCAGTGACTTTCATGCTGGGTTTGGGGGATCCCTCGGACCATTGGAGCCAGAGGCCTTGAGAGTTGATAGCCACACAGTTCCTGAGAGGTTCAGCTGGTACTTCAGTGTATTTTATCATTAAGCAACTTCTTCTGGGGCTGTCTGATGCACCAGCCTTCTTTACACAGTTTCATTTAAGAGACAGGATTTTGTTGGTAGAAAGTATGAAAAGTTTGCAGACTGATCAAGCTAATTGGAGGTTCTCAAAGGGTCGTCCCTGAACCAGCAACAGCAGCAGCTGCAGCACCCAGGAAATTGTTAGAAATGCCAATTATCAGACCCCACCCAGACCTACTGAATCTGACATTTAGGGGTGAGGTCCAGCAGTCTTAGTTGGAGCAAACCCTCCAGCTGATTCTATTGTGCACCTGAGGATGTTTCCTGAAATCTACTAATTATAACAACAGCACAGGGACAAACAACAGTAGCATTTGCCCTGGATTAGGCATGTGCTAGGCTCTTAGGCATTGACTAAGCTTTTGACAAGTGTTTTTCCCACTCATTTCTTACCAATAACTCCATCTTTTTTTTTTTTTTAAGACAAAGTTTGGCTCTCGTTGCCCAGGCTGGAGTACAGTGGCATAATCTCGGCTTACTGCAACCTCGGCCTCCAGGGTTCAAGCGATTCTCCTGCCTCAGTCTCCCTCAGCTGGGATTACAGGCGTCCACCACCATGCCTGGCTAATTTTTCTATTTTTAGTAGAGATGAGGTTTCACCATGTTGGCCAGGCTGGTCTCGAACTCCTGACCTCAGGCGATCCGCCTGCCTCGGCCTCCCAAAGTACTGGGATTATAGGCATGAGCCAGTATGCCCGGCAATAACTCCCTCTTCAGTGGGCTTTCTTTGAATCTGTGATTGAAGGGAAGAGGTCTGGGATGGCAGGAAGTAACGGGCCTGGGGGTGTGGGAGGTGCTTTAGTTCTGTGGGTGACTTAGGTAAACCCATCCCCCTTTCTGGAGCTCAGTTTCCCCAGTTATGCAATAACTGTGTTGGGCTTCAGTGGTTCCCTAATTTTACTATGCACCAGAGTCACCTAGAGAGCTTGTTACAACACAGACTGCTGGGCCCCAGCCCAGAGCTGCTGACCTTGCAGGTGGAGGGTGGGGCCCGTGAGTGGTGCTGGTCCTGCCACCCGGGGAACACATTCCAAGGACCACTGGGTTCTCCAAGTCTGTGTGCTCCCCCTCCCCAGCAGTGGTCCTGGGGGAGCCACTGCCCCTTTCATCCACAGCCTTTGCCGCCCCCATCCCCCTATAGGTGACCTCAACAAGACAGAGTGTGACAAGCAGACATGCGTGTGTGACAAGAACGTGGTTCTGTGCCTCATGAACCAGACGTACCGAGAGGAGTACCGCGGCTTCCTCAATGTCTACTGCCAGGGCCCCACGCCCAACTGCAGCATCTACGAACCACCCCCTGAGGAGGTCACCTAGAGTCACCAATCCCCGGCACCCCCCACCCCTCCCTAGAGCCTCTGAGGTCTGAGAGAGAAGAGCGGGCAGAGGGGACCAGATGAGGAGCAGGGAGGGTAGGAGCCAGGCTGGGAGCCCAAAGGTTGCTGGCTGCCTCCCCCTGGAGCTCTCCAGCCAGGGCTCAGCCCCCAGAGGACTCAGGAAGGCCTGGGTCTTGACTCCCCCAGCCCAACCCAGCCCCAAGCATGGGTGCATCCTGCCGCTGGTTCTGGACTGGGTGGGAGGCATGGAGCTTGTAGGAGTCTCTCCTGAGGGTGGCTGGGAAGACCCAAGAGAGAGGAAGAGGGGCCTCTGAGTGGGGCCTCTGTTGCTGGCACCAGCTTGACTCCCCGGAGCCTTCAAGAGTCTGAGCTGCCAGCCCAGGTCCAGAGCTGGGTGCATCCTCGGCCCAAAATCACAGGAAGGCAGATTGCTGGTCACGAAACCTGGGTTCCGGGAGCCCCTCAGCTGATCCCACAGGATGGCCTGGGGTGGTGGCTACTTTGGGCTTGAGGCTCTCTCGAGCCCCACTCACAGAGCAGGTGCCCCACCCCAGCCCTCACTGAGGTGGCCATGAGTCCAGTTCAGACCCTAGGGGATGTGCAGTGCTGAGCGTCCCAGCCCCGAAGTCCAGCCTCTGAGCAGGCTCCTGGGCACTGACAGAGCCACACACCCAGGTACACCTCACAGGCTAATATGGGGATACACGAAAATGTGGCCTCCAAAACCTGCAAGTCTTCTCTGTGCCCCTCATCGACCCATGCATGTCACCCAACCCTGCCCTGCCACACCACGTGGGTCTGAGGAGCGCCTCTACCCCCGCCCTCCGGGTCCCTGACAGACACTGCCCTCCTGGCCTGCACCTGGAACAGCAGCCAAAACAATGGAGGGGGACCCACACCCTTTCTCCCTGGGCTGTGGGCAGGTGTCACAAGTTCCATTGGTGGGGAAGAGGCTGAGGGCTGAGACCCACCTCAGTGAAGAGGGAAACATAAGCAGGGAGAGCATCAAGGCGGGAGGCTGCCTGGAAATTTCTAGAAGAGGGTCAAGGTAGGAGGCTACATGGAAGCTTCTAGAAGGCAGTAAGGAACAGGATGGTGAAGGAGAGGGGAGAAGATGGGAGCATGGAGAGATGAGGTGAGTGACAGCCGCCAGCAGGGAGGGGCCTCCAGGCAGCACAGAGGAGTTGGGGGGCAGGGCCTTACGGCGCTGGGTTCCTGTGTGGGGCGTGCAGCTGGGGCTGAAGTAGAGGGGACGGCCTTGAGGCCCCCAGCACTGTTGTTTCTCCAGGTGCACCATAACCTCCTCCTTACCTGCCCGAACCTCAACTCAGGGTCAGCGGCCTCCATGGAGCCAGCCCCACCTGCCCAAGGACCACTGAGGCCATCCTCCGCCTGGACTCAACAGCCGCCAGCAAGTTTGCCTGGCAGTGTCCCTGGGGTACCATTGTCACTGGGGAGGGAGAGCCAGGAAGGGTGGAGAAGGAGGCAGAAGGGGCACGTATGAAAAAGAGGACAGGAAGCCTCACCAGAGGCAGTTTCCAGAGCCCCAGTCTTGGAGACAAGGACACTGCCACCCAACGCCACAGTCAGTGTGGGAGGGGCCCACGTCCCCCACCCCCCACGCCACACCGCTGCCTCCTGCTGGCCATGGTCCTCTGGCTGGGAGGAATGCAGGTTCCCAGCTGTACCCCTCTTCCCCGCACACACACTCTCCCCTGTCCCACGGAAAGTCTAGGCCAGGATCTGGCGATGGGATTCTGCTGCCCAGGGGTCCTGCCCGCCCTCACTCACCCCAGATGCTTCAGATGCTGCAGGTCCCAGAGAATCTCCACAGGACTTGGCTTCCCCTGCTCAAATGAATAAAGGCCTCCTACCTCAACTCCCCATGGCTGGGCCCTCCTTGGCCAGGCGTCGAGGGAGGGCATGGTGACTCCCCCTGCTTCTCCAGCTCTGGGAAAGGTGGGTTCCCATGCCCCGTAGCTGGCATGGCCCATCTCCCTCCTGCCCCCAGCCTGGGGGTGAGAAGTGGTGCCCAGGCCATGGACCCTAGGCCCCATGGTCTAGCAGTGGGACGATGACCGTGGTATGATGATAATGACAGGGCTAAGAACTTTTCAGGCACAGATCTCTGCAATACTCTCTCCACCCATTTCTGTTGAATAACTGAGGCCCAGAGAGTTCAAGTCACACAGGTCACAAGTGATGGGGCTGGGCTCTGGGCTCTGAGTCCTCTGTGTTGCACTTTTTTTTTTTTTTTTGAGACAGAGTCTCACCATATTGTCCAGGCTGGAGTGCAGTGGCGCGATCTGGGCTCACTGCAACCTCCACCTCCTGGATTCAAGCGATTCTCCTGCCTCAGTCTCCCGAGTAGCTGGGATTACAGGCGCGCGCCACCAGGCCCAGCTAATTTTTGTATTTTTATTAGAGACAGTGTTCCACCATGTTGGCCAGGCTGGTGTCGAACTCCTGACCTCAAGTGATCCGCCCGCCTCAGCCTCCCAAAGTGCTGGAATTACAGGTGTGAGTCACCACTCCTGGCTGCCTCTGACTTTTAACCCCTGCTCCTTGCAGCTCCTGAATGATGATTTGGGCACCTGGGGCAGTGGTAGGAGAGACCAAGGTCCTCATGCCGGCCCATCCGGTTCTCCTTCCAGCTCTGCCCCTGACATCTGTCCAGCCTTGGTGGGCCCATCTGTGAAATGGGACTACATTTCTGCAGTGAAGAGTCCCAGGCTTGTTGTGACAGCCACTGAGACAGCGGGGAGGAAAGGGCTTGTGAGCTGAGTGGGGTGGGGAGGGGAAAGCGGGCAGGAGATTATTATCGTCAAGATCATTAGTATGGAGGCTGGATATTTCTTCAGAGTGAAAGGGAGTGACAGTGGGACCATAAGGGTCCCGCAGGGCAGCTGGGTCCTGGCCCCTTCCCGACTCAGGCTCCTTCCTGTGTGGGTATCAGTTGCCTCCCCCGCAGCGACCACAGCGGCTGTTTCTCATGCTCTCTAAAGCCGTGGGCTTCCCTGGGGACATCAGCTGGGGACATCAGTGGGTACCCCTGTGTTATATGGGGAAGCTTTCACACACGACCCTGCAAGAAGAGGGATTCCTCAGCTCAATATTTTAAGTTTGAAAATCCCTGGACAAGCTCACCCGCGGATTCGTTCACTCAGCGGCCCTGCATGAGAGTGCCCTGGGTGCCAGCTGTGGTGCTGGGCTTCCAGCCTCTGCCCCCTCGGGGAGTCTGCAGCCCAAGTGGGAGGCAGACGCTGAGCTCCGAACCTTGACACGTGGTGCTAAGTGGTGTGACCGGGGGCACACGGGTGAGAGAACCCAGGTCTGTGTGGCAGTCCCAAAGGTGCCAAAAGGGGATGGGTGCAGCTGGGATGGTGCAGCTGGGGTCTCCCTGGCGTGGAGAGGAGTAGCAGGGGGTCACATTTTGTGAGGAGGGGCCCCTTCTTCCACGCCTGGGGATCTCTTCCCCTGGGGACCAATGAAGTCTCCATCCGGGGACTGAAGTCTTCCACGCTAAAGCGTAAGGAGGGGGCTGTCCGTGCTCCTCTCTGTCCTGGTGCTGCCATCTCTGCCCAGACCTAGGTCCGCCTACCCCCTCAGGAGACCCATGCCCCTCCGGGCCCCTTTCCCCTTTCCTCGGACCTATGGGGCGTCGCTGACAGGTTTTCCAGAACGTGGGCGACACCTAGTGGACATCACGGGTCACAACCGGCGCTCCACTCCACCCCTCCCACCCCTGCCGCCCCTCTGCCCTGGACCCAGAGTGGAATTCTGTTGAGGGCCTGCCCCAGGCCCACAGTGCCCAGGAGAGCACAGGAAGCCATCAGCGTGGCCTCCACCATCCTCTCATTGTTGTCATCACCGCCTCTCAAGAAGTGCTGCCCTTAAAGCAAACAGCACAGGCTGGGTGGCACCCTGGCCCTGTCCCTCGCAGGGGGAGGGTAGATGTGGCAAGTCGCTTCACCCCTCCCAGCCTCAGGTTCCCCTTCTGCAAAATGTGGTTGATAATGAAGCACACCCCATAGGGTTTGAGGATGACATGAGGTCAGGGATGAGGATGTCCCTAGCACAAGGCCTGGCATGAAGAAGGGAAATTGTCTAGAGCAGGTGACTGATGCCCTGGGCAAAAGACCCTCAGGTAGGGGTGGCAGACAGCGGCAGGTAGAAGAAGTTGTTGCTGATGGAAGTGGACTGCCTGTGACATTCTTCCCCAAACAGAAAACTGGCAGAAGCAAAGCTGCTATTTAGCAAGAAAATCTGGCTCCCTGCCTGTGAGTGTGAGGGGGAAAGGGAGCGGGTGGGAGGAGGAGGAGGGAGAGGATGCAGAAGGGAAGGGTCTGTGGACCCTTGCTGTCCCTAAGCCACAGCCAGGCACCCGGGGCCTTGACTGACCCTGCCCCCAGCTGGGCCTAGGAGCCGACACTTCCTCAGTCCGGCCCTAACTATGAATGCAGAGAGGCAGCCGTTCCTCCAGAGGTTGGCATGGTAACACTAGCTGTTGGCTTCCCCAGTTGTGACTTTCTAACAAGCAGCTGATGCTACCAACTGTGACAACAAGGAAAGTTCTGGAGAAAAACACCAAGGCTCCTAGCAACAGGAGACAGGGGTGCAGTTTTTTTTTTTTAAAAGACATATTGGGCCAGGCGCAGTGGCTTACGCCTGTAATCCCAGCACTTTGGGAGGCCGAGGCGGGCGGATCACCAGGTCAGGAGATTGAGACCATCCTGGCTAATACAGTGAAACCCCGTCTCTACTAAACAAAATACCAAAAAAAAAAAAAAAAATTAGCTGGTCGTAGTGGTGGGTGCCTGTAGTCCCAGCTACTTGGGAAGCTGAGGTAGGAGAATGGCGTGAACCCAGGAGGCAGAGCTTGCAGTGAGCTGAGATTGTGCCACTGCACTCCAGCCTGGGTGACAGAGTGAGACTCTGTCTCAAAAAAAAAAAAAAAGATGTATTGCCCCGCCAACGTCAACCCCTCTAAAACACCCATGCTCTGCCCAGGAAGGGGGTCTGGGATCTCAAGATGTCAGGGCCCAAGTAAGAAAAGCAGAGCACATCAATCACTGTGCCAAGAGTTTTGCATGTGTCCTCTCATTTAACCCTCTCAGCAGCCCTAGGAGGTGGGTGAGGAGAGAGGCCATTTCTCTTACTGTCTCCTGTCTCTGAAGAGAAGGAGGAAGTAAAAGTTGAAAAACAACAAGAATGAAGTCAGTGGCAAGACCAGCCGGTGTCACTGATGACCAGGCCTGAGATTAAAAGATTAACCCCCTACTCTCACCACATGTGCTCTCAATCTATCACGACCCTTTCACGTGGAACCCCTTAGAGCTGTAAACCCTTAAAAGGGCCAGGAACTCTGTCTTAGAGGAGCTCGGTTCTTGAGACATGAGTCTGCCAAAGCTCCTGGCCAAATAAAGCCAAATCCTTCCTTAACCTGGTGTCTAAGGGGTTTTGTCTGAGGCTCGTCTTGCTACATTTCTTGGTTCCCTGACCGGGAAATGAGATAATTGACAGATGGTTGAGGCAGTCCCTTAGGCAGCTTAGGCCTGCCCTGCAAAGTATCCCTGTGGGGGGCTCTGGCCAGCCTAGGCTACATGGATCCTGAGAGCGCTCCCCGGTAAGCATTTGCCCCAGTGGAACGCCTTGTCAGAGTGGTGCATGGCAGGCCCCCGCAGAGGATCAATGCAGTGGCTGAACACCGGGAAGGAGCTGGCACTTGGAATCTGGACAACTGGAATACAGTAGAACCGGTCCTGGGAATTTCCCCACTCCATTTGAGTGGAAGCGTGGCCTGATCACCCACGGTGTGCCCTTATCGGCACTTTGGTCTCAGCATTGATTTTGATTTGGCTTGATTTGTTTGCAACTGGCACTTTGGTCTCAGTACTGATTTTGATTTGGCTTGACTTGTTTGCAAAAAGGAAAGTGAAAGTGAGTGCTTGAGTTTGAGACGGGCGAGACTGGAGTGACCCCTTTACCCTTTCCTTGTGGTGTGAGTGTTGTCTTGTCTCGGGAGGAAGATGGGTGGAATGCAAAGTAAGCCCACTCCACTAGGAACTATGTTGAAAAATTTCAAGGAAGGATTTAGTGGAGACTATGGAGTTAACTATGACACCGGGAAAACTTAGAACTTTGTGTGAGATAGACTGGCAGGCATTAGAAGTGGGTTGGCCAACAGAAGGAAGCCTAGACAGGTCCCTTGTTTCAGTGGTGTGGCACAAGGTAACTGGTAAAAAGGTAACTAGACCAGTTTCCGTACATAGACATTTGGTTACGGCTGATTTTAGACCCCCTACAGTGGTGAAGAGGACAGACAGTAGTAGTACTAGTGGCAAAGGGACAGACAGCCAAGGAAGAAGCCCGCTCCACGCGCCGAGGGGAATCGGCTCCTAAAGTCCTGTCCAACCCAACATCAGAGGATTCATGGCAAGAAACGGCGCCAGTGGCCTCCCCCTTTCACCAAGAAGGAAGGCCTTCCACTCCTGAGCCCACTGTGCCCGAGCTTCCACAAGGCCTATATAAACCTAGGCCATCCAGAGTGGAAAAGAAAGGATGCGAGGTCTTGGGAGAAACGCCTCCCTTGGCAGCCTGTTTAAGGCCTAGAACTGGATACAGATGCCCCTGAGAGAGCAACAGTATACTGGGGTAGACAAGGACGGGCATACGGTGGAAAGGCGTGCCTTTGTGTACCAGCTCTTCACCTCTACCGATCTCCTCAATAGGAAAAACAATGCCCCATCCTACACCGAAAAGCCTCAAGCTATACTTAATTTGCTCCAAACTATTATCCAGACCCACAACCCCACCTGGGCTGATTGCCACCAGTTGCTCATGTACCTCTTTTTTTTTTTTTTTTTTTTTTTTCTCTGTTGCCC